TTGCTAAATAGCACGTGCCAATTCTCCGGCAAGCAACTGTTTGTGTGGGGTTGCGTCCTTGAATACGTCACCCATGGTACCGCTCTTTCATTTGCGCACGACCTCGTGGGGCTAAATCGCAGGCCGCCGTTGAGAAGCGGAGAACGTTGTTCTCTTATTCGCAGACTGCCGACTGGCTTCCCGTTTGTAGCGAAGTTTCGGTAAACCGTCAGTCCTTTCATTTTTTTTTCCAAACAAGATATGTTTTCCACGACTTGATATACTTGTTTAAACGTACAAGATGGCGAAATCAAATATTTAGAGCGATTAAAGCCGTTTTTGTGTATTAAAATCCATGTATTAAAAAAAATAGAACTTGATAGACGCGAGTATGATTTCAACTAGTACGTTTTACCATCGACCTGAAATTTAATATCGTATCCTCACGCTGTCATTTATAATTATTGTAATTGTTAGCCGTGCCGCGTATAAGTAGGCACCAGAAATTGTCATTGCGGCGGCCTCTCGGATAATAACACGTTACTAGGTGAGAAGATCACGCTCGATATAAGCAAGGTGCGTTTTACTTGGAAGCGTGGAAGAGGTGCGTGTCGAGGTAGTTACTAAGAACGCGCGGACAGACCGCACGAAGGAGGAAAGCGAACGCTAACGACTGGTCACGTGTGCGACGGGCGAGATAAGGGTTGAAAAAGGAAATTTGTGTTTAGAAAATTACCGCGTCATTACCCCGACCACGGCCGCGGCGGCGTACGCTCCGCGGACGAGCAGCGACACGGTAATGTCCGCCCACGAAACGATTGTCGGCTGATAAGAATGAGTCGAAGAAGAAATTAGAAAGAGAACGCGCGGTGCCGGCCGTGTGCCCTCCCTTCTGGGAGAATTATCGAGTATTTCGCGGCGATAAGCAACCCCTCGAAAGCGTGACTGGGTAAATTCATCGTGGACTTCATTATTCGACAACTCAAGAGCTTTCGATTCCTCATTTATATCGTATACTCTTGTCCCTCTGTTGCGCCGTCCTCTTCGCTCTTCCCGCAACATTATGTTGTTCTGCCCGTGGCCGAGCCATTAGCTCGCGTTTTCTCGTCAACCGCCACTTCGAGGCCTCTTTATCGAGGATATTGCTGCACTCCGCTTAGCCCGAAGATGTTATTTACACAGATAACCAGATTAAAGTCCGTTTATAAATTTCTTCTCAATCTATAAACTCCAGTGCGAAAATAATATTTTAATGCTTAATTGAACGAACTCGCTGGGAAATGCTCGGCGAGCGAGTGAGATTCACTTATCAGATCTTCTTCTTCGTTTCTGTGGCAATTATTTACAGAAAGATAAATTTTATATCAACGAAGAATCCCCAATTAAGTGTCGCGCGTGAAACTTGCAACGGCGAATGGTGTGTGTAAAAAAGGAACGGCGCGCTATCTAAAAGTGGTAAATCGTTGCCCGATTCTCGCGCTCGTTCCGAGGCGATCCGGGTTTTTCGTGCGACGTGGATTCACCGTCCGGTTAGGGCCCGTGTCGTGTGCGCGTCCGTTGTCCATTATACGACATAAAATTTCTTCCGTCCCGCAGATAGGATCTGCGACCTCAGTCGCGTGTCCTACCGTGGGATCTGATAACGAACGAACCCGAGTCCGCACATCTCTCTTTCTCATTCTCTCTCTCTCTCTCTCTCTCTTTTTCGCGCTCGCGGGGGTGGAGACAGGGGGTGAACCGACCGATCGGTCGACCGACAGACAGACGGACGGATGGACGGACGGGGAGAGATGCGAGGTGATAGAGACGGGTACGCGCGCGCGCACACACCCCCCACACATACATACACGCACGCGCACACACACATCACACACCCCGTAGACGTGAACACGCGCACACATTGTACCCTGGATCGTAGACGACCCCAATCATCCCCCACGGCGTGCTTCATCGAACGAAGGCTGTCAATATCGTTGGTATAAGCAGGTCCGATGATGTACGCGCGACGTCAACGAGTCTCCGTAAGATATCGGACGTGCTTTCGATTCGACGCGAGCGTGAGCGTGAGAAAATAGGGTGCGAACGATCGCTTTGTGCACGGCCGCCGTCTCTCGTTGCCGCTCTTTTTCTATCACTCTGCCTCTCACTCTATTCTTCTTTGTCTCTCTCTCTCTCTCTCGCTCTCTTTCTTTTTATCCGTCTCTTCTCCGATTTTCTCCGGCATCTGCTGCGCCGGGGGATGTACGACGATAAATGACGTCATCGAGGAAAATATTACGATTACGGGACTTGTAGTTACACGCGTTGTCATTAATATATAATCCTCTTTATAAAAATTAATATTTACTATATTATGTCAGGTATCCTCAGCATTTTCTGATGAGTATGCCTCTTGTATTTTTAGTTAAATACCAGGACGGCGATAATAACTAATTTCGTTGGCATCCTTTTATAATAACTTTGCTAACAGCCGTACGTGAGGAATATCCATAAATATTGTAACTAGGGGAAAAGTACACTTTCGTGTTACATTATCGTCGCGCGGGGAAAAAAAATAGAATTTTCGCGCTCTTTTTTCCTTTGTCGCGGTGTATGCATCAGCCCCTTGATATCAATGAATCGATAGTTGGAGATTGATCAATCACTAAGAACGCGCTTAAGCTTCTGATCGACGGTATGTATATTTTATGCGGGGAACGAGACGACGATATAATAATCGACATAGCAGGTGGCAGCGGCGACGGTCTCGGCCCATTCTCGTGACAAAAGTACAACGATGATCTAGGGTGGGAAAAGGGGTGGAGGGCCGGCCGCGCACGTAGGAGCGTAGAATAATGTAGCGAGGCATTTCCGCATAGGAAGCCGTGCATTAGGCTATCAGATCGAGCACGCGCGACAACGGCTGGTGGAGAAAAGGGAAGAAAAAGTTGCGGGGGCAAACCTTTACGTGATTAGCTGCGAAAAGAAAGAATTCCAATGCAGAGACTGGCAAAATGGAAGACATCTCTAACGTTTCTCTTCGCTAACTTTTCTCAAGAAAATTTTTAGACACGCAAAGTTCATGCCGTTTCGATCACGAGCGAATAATAGAAAGCTATAAATAGCTCTCTTGAATTCTTTTAAAATTTTTATTAGAAATATAATAAATTAAAATGAGAATCCTGTTTTACATGTTCGGGAAAAAAAGAGAGAAAGAGAATATCGCTATAAAGTATTATTTATACATTTTCATAAATTAATATATAGTGACAGATCTATCACGTGTAAGAAAAATAAACGGAAACTTTTGATTATATGATATGGTATGCCGTGACTAACATGTTCTACATTTAGAAAGCACGTTCACGGTTATATCGATGCAAGCGAGTCGCATAGCGCATACGGCGTACCATGCGAAACGTTTGATTCTTCGGATTTTAGATTTGATTCTCGTATTAACGGGGCCCGCGACCGTTCGGTTTACTCGCGAAAATTTTAGCTCGCATAGTTCGGAAACGCAAGAAACAATTCACGGTAAATCTCATTAAGGAAGACTTCGGAGAGGGTAGGTGGCCGGAGTGGCGAGGAGGCGAAAAAACCCTCGGGCCAAATGTGTCGAAATATGTTGAAGCGGTAATTAGCTTTGTGCGTACCGTGAAATACGAGCGTGCAATTTCGCCGGACGTTTGGAAGTTTCGCAAACAGACCACGTGCTTGCTCTTTTATCTGCGATTCCACTCTTTTGGACAGGCCCGATGAATAAAGTTACACAGAACAATAGATTGATAATTAACAGTGATGTTCGCGTCGCTGCCAAAATGGACGGGATCTTTTTTTTTTATTTTTTGTTTTCGCAATTTCGCGTGCACGACATCCCGTTCCGCTCGATTATCTTGGCGCAACCGTACGACTCGTGGCTGCGCGTTAACTTGGAAACCAAACGACGAGTCGGCTAGGAATATGCAATATAAGATATTGTAATTAACCCGACCACTCGGAAACAACTAAGCGCCTGCTCGTTAACGTTTTATTTATCGTCGCGTGTGCATTTTTTATTTAGAGTATATCCGAAGCACGTGGTCCCCGCGCGCCGTAATTGCGAGAGCGACATGTCGGCGCACGACGCCACCGTGCGAAGGACTTGCGATTTTCACGAGAGTGGACATCTCGCGATAAGAAAGCGGTAATAATGTAACGACGAGGGCACGCGCGCGATCCACCTTCGACCGCCTTGTATCTTGGATCTGTACTGTACTCAGCCTAATTATAATCAGGCTAATGCCTGCCGGACAGTATGCGTCGGTACCTACCGGCCTCCTACGCTTCTATACCTGGCGCTATGTAGGTAGCGTTACTTATCCCCAGCTGCTCTACGAGAGAGGGTAATTAAGATTCGGACACACCCATCGTGACTCTCGTCTCTTGGGCTCTGACCGCTTCTGCAAAGGGAGTGGTCGATCCCTCGAAAACCTCGTTCTCGTTTGCATACACGAAACGCGCCTCTGTTATCAGAAACGTCTTCTACGATTCCATTCTTTAAAGGGAGTCGGCCGCACGAGATGCGAAAATGTCCGCGATTATGTAGGGGAGTGGCGACACGGCTGTCCGCCGTATCCTTGAGATTTTCTACATGGCCACGTCTGCTCGTTTTCGTGGATTTAGTTACCCATCCGGCAGCAGCAGCCGTACCGAAGGGCAATTCTCGATTTAAGCGAGATCGAAAATACGCGAATCGATTGCATACGTCAAGATTTCAATCTAGATTGCTAAAAAATTTATATTTAAAAGAACTGCTCGCTATCAAGTCGCGCTTTAACGTATTCATTTATTCCAACAAATTAACGTACCTGTAAAAATATCTCTCTCCCATGCTAACGTATCTCGTCTCTTTCGTAAGACATTTTTAAACTTTTTAGTTTTCCGTGTACGATACTCTAGGGCGAGGGGACTGTAGAATACGCAAGAAACAAGCCGCTCGCGTAGATGTGCATAGTTGAAAAGAACTATTCGCTATTAGAAGTTGAAAATTACACATTACTCACCGGAAGTTGGAGAACCACTTGACCAGCTGCGCTGTATTGTTTTTATTAAACTTGATGTCGGGGAAGTACATCTTAAGGACGGCCGAGGATGGGTACCTGACCCAGAAGAACATCAGCTTCGCCTTCCTCAGATGCATCGGCGTCAGCGTCGACGAGTTCACCGCGGTTAAGGAAATACCGTTTGCTATGTATATAAATATATGTAACACGTAAATGTATATGAAGAATTCCAATACAAAAAAGGGGGGATTAAGCTGAGAGAGAAAAGTGCGGTCAAAAGAAGCGTCGACTCGTTTCTCGGACGTCTGAGAGTATCTTAAATATAATCGTGTTTTCTTTCGTATCGAATCGGATCAGAAATCGTACAAATTGCGGCTATCGCGAGGGTGGGCGATAGAAGGTTCTCACCGCGAAGTTGATCTACGATTGGCCGTATCCTCAGCAGAAGCCTTACTGACTCCTTATTGGTAATAGGATCTCTACATGTGGTTTCATCACAATCTTATTCGATTAATTCACACGACTCTGCCGTATTGTCCACAACCCTTTCAACTTAATTCATCCACAACGTGTACGCTTGTATTTTCGATACCGCAAGCGTGAAATGTCAGCGCATAATCTCGCGTTAATCTCGAGCTAAAAAAATTCGGGACAGACTCTCTCTCTCTCTCTCTCTCTCTCTTTCGGAAAAAAAAGAAAAAGTAAAGAGGACGTAGGCAACAAAATGAATTCGGATGCATCAAATGCCAGCGAGAACCGCGATGAGGCCTAGGATGGTGCGTCCGGAGGAGCGCGGAACAGCAGATCGTGTCACGGCGATGCACAACGCGCTCGACCTACCCCAAGAGAGAGGAGGGAGTGAAAAAAATGTGCCATTGATTTTACATCAAAGGCCGACTAAAAAGGCGGCAAAGAACGGCACGCTACCCGATCGAGCGATCCGGTCCAACACGCCAATGCAGTTCCGACATTGCATCGGACAATCGGCGCTCACACGAACCCGCGCGCGACACTCGCCTTTTTTTCCTTGCTGCACCGAGGCGAACTCCCGATCCGCAAGCCACCGGATCTCTGCACGCTCTTTCGGTAACTCAGAAGCAAGCCGCGGCGGGGTGGAACATGCACGATAATCGGGCTGGTGAACCATTCGCTTTCGCCGATCATTTTCTGACGATACCAAGAGTGCATCTTAACCCGATGCATTCGCGGCTATTTTAGTCATTTCGAAAAGGATCAAGAATATTGTTTTTTTTTTAATTTAACACGATCCTTCATTAGTATGCAAGTCTTAAAATTGTTATAAATTTATAATGTAACTCAAATCGGTCGAGAAAAATAGAATTTTTCTTCTTTGCGACGTTAATCTCTGTAAATCAATATTAATTGTTTTCGCGTATATTAAACATATAAATTAAATATTTATCATTATTAATGAACACTTAAAAATTGTGTGATAAATTACTGCAAAATGTGGCAACGCCCATTCGTTTCTAACTCGATTAAATTTAGAATTCTAATAAGAGAGATTTTTGTTCTATCGTATACGGGCCTCTGTCAGGACTTTCCGTACCAAGTTGCGATCGAATGTAACAAATGTAACGACGTCTTTCTCGGAAGATGAGATGAATATTTACAGACAAAATTCGATACTCAGAAATGTAGCTTTACAAAGGCTCATATCACCGAGATCAGCGAAAGTAGCTTATCTAGGATAAGCCGAGGAGACGCTCGAAATGTGAAGTTCGCGAAACGCTCAGGCTGAATTGCGAAATTGCGGGACAGATTATTGGCTTGCGAAGTTGGGTGAGACTGCAAGCCGAGGGTGGGCCGAGGTAGGCAAAGAACTTTTGGCTCGGTGCGTTGTTGCCGGACAAACTCTACTCGTAGGTGCAGCCAACATTAGCCTAACTCCGTGGCAAACTAATCTAACATTCGTCCGAGCTTCCTCGCTCCAGCCGCCTTCCGAGCGAGCGAGTGAACGGAGCCATTTTGCCTGGCTTTTTCTCTCTCTCAAAAACCCACCGCTACATCCTAAACTTTTCGCGTTTCGCTTCTCTTCTAGCTCAAAAAATATCCCCGAGTATCTTAACCGTTTGTTCTAGTATTTCTACATTCTTTTTAACACCACAATTATTCCTCAGGTAACATAGTATTTTTTATTTTAACATTCTTCAATTAATTCTTCGTTATCTCTAGATGAATGATTAATATCATCAATTTTTTCACGCATTTTAAACGTAATAAAATATTAAAATGTTATCTGAGGAAAAATTGATAAAATTGTCGAGCATTATTACCATTTTTGCCCTTCAGCATATAAGTATTAGTAAAGGATATTGTAGGCTGAATTCCATCGTAGGTGATGTCGCCGGAATTGCAGTCGCTAGCTCGGTCGTTGCTGTCCATCCTAAGGTGTCCGTAGTCCGGACTACCGTGCTGGGCTGCCGCCAGCAAGGCTGGATGCAACATAGCCGGCGGATGGGGCAGTGGAGGGGAATCCCTGAGTTCTACACCTCCACCCGGAGGACTCGCGGGTAAATGATGTGGCCCCGGAGGTGGTACTTGACCAGGATGACTCGCGTGAGGATTGAAAAACGGCGAATAGGGCGAGAACACTTGACTCTCGTGGAGGCTTGGATTTGGTATCGCTACACTGGTTGGCAGGGACACCGGCAGCATCGGCGGTGGCGCGTGGTAGGGTCTCGGTGGTGGAGGAGGCGGGGGACTATCACTACCTCCTTGAGAACCGTTTCCCTCTTGCGCTAGGATTCTGGACACCGTTCTGGGAGTAATTCTTGTATCCGTCACCTGTAAGGCGTACTAATTAGTATTTTTTTTTTTAGTCAGACTTATTCATCTTTCGTAATTAATGTATAAATAAATTTATTTTATTTATAATTCATTTTTATAAAAGTATCTTAGATAATTATTATAATATTTTCGCTCTGATTTCGTCAACTTAAAGTTATTTAGCGTTATTCGAAAATTACGAGTGACTTGAAGTTAATATTTCTTTATATACAAAAAGTATGTAAAAAATTTATCCATACGTTTATATAAAAAAACATCAATTTATTATGACGAGTCTAAAGATATGTTAAGTTTGACAAGTTGCAATGCTTACCTTATGACGTTTTTTCTTCGGCGTCATGACGAGTGACAGGGCCTCATTTTGTTCCGAGTCCCTGTTTTCTCTCTCGTCACCTCTCATATTGCAGTATTGGTCGCGTTGCTGCTCCCTTTGCTGCTGTTCGCGTTGCTGCTGATGTTGCTGTTGGTGTTGCTGTTGTTGCTGCGCCTGCATGGACGCCTGCATGGCGTATATCGTCGGCGGTTTTGGGGTCTGAAACATTCCAACGCTCGGCCTTCCGTGCGAGGGCAGCTGATTCATCTGATTAAGATTATTTTCCGTGGGGCCAGCATGAGGGCCATGGGGCACACCACCTATGGACCCGATTTGCGAAAACCCCGTGGGTTGTGGAGGAGGGGGCCCACCGTTGAGGGGCCCCCGTGGCCCGTTTGGGCCACCGGGTGGTTGCGGAGCTCCTCTGTCGACCACTTTCGTCCTGGGCGATTTTCTTTCGAGCATTTGGCTCGCCAAAAGGAGGTCCTTATTGAGCTGCTCGGCAGCAGCCTGCGCTGCCTCGGTTTGCTTACCGAGAAACCTCCTCTGTTGCACGAACCTCGATACTATGCTGTCAATCAGATTGGTTAAAGAAGAAGTTATTTCCGTCTTCAAGATATCCGCCAGGCCTTCCAAATCGGCTCCGGTGATATGGGGGCCGGACGAACTGGCAGCTGCGGCGGCACCCCTGAAGACGCTTAGCCTTTCCTGGAAGTCTTTGTGTTGAATGGGCGTACTGGCTGATTGCATTTGCGGCGTCTGCGGCGTCGAAGGACCAGTGTTGTTCTGGCTCTGTTGCTGAGACTGGCTTGGTGGCGGTGGCGAACTCTGTCGTTGATGCTGCTGCTGCTGCTGCTGCTGTTGCTGCTGCTGCTGCTGTTGTTGTTGCTGCTGCTGCTGCTGTTGCTGCTGCTGCTGCTGCTGCTGCTGCCGCACGGCCGCTTCTTGATGTTGTTTCATTCTTTCGAGGGCAGCATGCTGTTGTTCGAAGTAGAGTTTATGCCCCATGTGATACATAGCGGCAGCCGCTGCGTGGGGGTGATCAGGTGGGAGGGCCGGGAGACCGTTGTACGGCGGTGGATGAGGTCGCGGCGGTCTCGGCGGTGGTTGCGGTGGTTGCTGAGGACTGGGTGGCGCGTCGCCGCTCTCACTTGTATCTGGCTCCATTCTACTGGAGAGTTCCATGTACTTTTGTTGCATTTCCGCCAATTGCTCGTGCAGCATTTTCAACTGTATCTTCAAATTATCTTTCTCCTCCCGTTTCTGCCTGATCGTCGCAGGGTCCTCCTCCTCTTCACTCTCGTCGTCGTCGTCCATCATGGTGTCGTTGACACTATGTTGGAGAACGTGATGCACCGTCTGTTGCTGAGGCTGATAGAGCTTGCGCTTCTTGCAACCGTTTACCGTTGCTGGCTGAAGCGCCGGGCTGCTGCGCATTGTGCTGACGATGTTCTCCACGCGAGCGCGTTTAATCTCTGTCGTTGGAGAGCTCGTCTCGGTCTTTGGCACGATCGGACAAGGAGAGTGACTAGGGCTACGTTTGATATTGAGCGACTCTTGCATCTCCTCCTTAACGGAGACCGAGCCCGATCTTGGTGCCGTTGGGCTAGGAGGCAGGCTCTGCTCGCAATCCGATCCGTCCAAGTTCGCCCCTGGCTCCATGCCGGCCTCGGCAAAGGCCTCCTCCATCGCGCGTGCCGCGGAGGCAGCATCCTCAGCGCTGTCCTCAGCGTCGCCCGGCATCACGGTATCACGATCACTGTGATTCGCGCTATTCACGATGTTATTACCATCACCACTCTCCTCCCCGCCACTCTGCACTGTTCCACTGCGCGCACTATCACTATTTTGTTGCTGATGCTGCTGGGGACTCTGCTGATGCTGTGATTTAAGTAATTCCGCGGTAGTATTGTTATTGTTATTACTGTGTATACTGTTGTTATTGTTCGGCTGCTCCTGCACGCCGAGAGCGGAGAGTTTGCGCCCCTGCAGAAGCATGTCGCGTAACATGTGCTGCGTGAGATCGGCCGTGGCGGGATCATCACAATTAGCCACGGCGCCCGGTTGCAAATTCGAGGCGGGATCCATGCCGGCACCGGTCATCCCGTGGCCGCCCTCTGGCGGGGATCCGCCAGCGTCACTGGCCTGTTTGACCTGCCTTCCTAATAACTCGTTCAGCATCTTGGCGGGGCCGAAGCCCGGAGCCCCGAAGAAGCCGAAGGCCGCGTGGCCGGAATGCTGCTGTGTTGTAGGACCCGTCGTAGCTGCGCCTAAATGACTTTGACTGCCAGTCGCTCCAGCCTGTTGCTGGAGCTGTTGTTGCTGCGGTTGTTGCGATTGCGACTGGTGGTGTTGCTGCGACTGCTGCTGCTGCTGCGGCGGCGGCTGTTGTTGTGGGTGCGTCGGTGGACCACTACCACTGAAGATCGAGCCGTATAGACCACCACCGAGGAAGGATGGCCGGGAGCTAAAGTTCGGTATACTCGAGTAGCTGTTGCGCGGCTCGCCGGCGTCCACGCGCTGTCTGGTGCGCTTCTGCTTCTTCAGGAGTTGCTGTTGCTTGCTTTCCGTGGCTGCTCCGTAGAGGGCGAAACACTCGGTCTCCTCCTCCGATGACATCATCGGCCGTCTGGTTGGTCGGCCCCCCGAAGGCCTCCGCGTCCCCTCCCCGCCAGTGCTTCTTGTCGCCCTCCCCTTCTCGAATAGCCCCTCGTGGCTCAGTGCGCTGCCTCGGCTTCTGCACTGTGTAGTCTCTCTGGGTACCCCCTACTACAGCTGCCTTTTCTCCGCGTTCCTTCTAGCTAATGCTCCCTACCTCGTTCGACACCGACCACCACCACCTCTCCACTTCCTTTGCCTTCGCCGTCTCCTTCTCGGTCTTCTTCTCCTCTTCCTTTTCCGTCTTCTTCGCCGCCACCGCCTCCTCCTCCGCCTCCTCCTCCTCCTCCTCCTCCGCCTCCTCCTCCTCCTCCTCTGCCGCCTCCTCTGCTTTCTTCGCCGCCGCCGCCGACGACGACGACGACGCCGGCACCCTTCTCGTCCCCGACGAACTCCTGCTTCCTCCTCTTCTCCTTCTTCTCCTTCTCTCGCGCTTCCTCTTCTTCTTCTTCCGTCGTTCCTCGCTTTTTCTGTGCTTTCTCTTCACTATTCCTCGCCCCGCACCTTCCGCCGTAAAGCTGACGCCAACGGCTGAGGCTGCTGTTCGGTGACTTGATGCCGGACGTCCGCCTTCGTCTCCGAATGGCGGGACTTCTTCGGAAGATACGATTCGTTATCGGGTCGGTATCCGCTGCTGTCGTGTTTCTTACTACTTCTGCTACGGTAATTGTTATAACCGGGACCGCCGCTGTTGCTACCGATGCGTTTACTCCCGGTAATCGTTGCGATGTTGTTGCCGTTGATGATAACCAGAAGGGAAGCCGGTATTCTCGCGGGCGGAATCCTCGTGCTCCCGCCTGGGAGCTGCATCCTTCGAGCTCGCCAAAGGGCTAAGTGCCCCTCGCTCCCTCGTCTCGATTTTCGTGGCCGCAATTCTCCGATACGTCTGAAATAGAAAGACGACGGTTCATCTTAGCGATCTGTGTCGGCTAAACGAATATCGCTTGTCTATATATATACATATATACAGTAAGAGAATCGATTCAAAGGAACGATAATAGCACACGGTAGTGTATTTTAAGCTCTGTATATAGACCGTTGTATTGAAAGAAATGTCGTTTCCGTAGATAGGAAGTTCTCGATGGTGTGTACACTTGTCGTTTCCTCTTATTATTAGCTTATCTTATTTTAACCGCAAATCAAATGGCAGCGATGTTTTAAACCGGACTATTATAGATGCATCATTAATCCTCATAATCGTAACGTGTACCTCGCAAGTATTTCCTATCGGGGATAGAAATACGTGCGTGCATTTTTGCTTCACTGTCTACTCAAATATTCTATTTTAGTATTCTATCGTTTCGCACTTGGACACACGCGCGTGTGCATCGCGACAGATTCTTAGGGATTCAGAAATTTTGTAGAAAATATTTCTCACTTTCCAAGATACAGGTATTCGATTCGGAAGAAAAAAAAAATACATTAATTCTATGCGAGATGACGTCACGGTACGATAGAACATGAGAAAAGAGTGCGAAGTGTTATCGGTTAAAAATACAGTGATCGACCACGGCGAGGGCGACGACGACGGCGACAAAGAAGAAGAGCAGACCGCGGGTGACAGTTGCAAGCAATATGTTTCACCCTCGTCCGAACACCCTGCGGCCGATAGAAGCAAAAACTCAAAGTATAGTGAGTTACGAGGGGGCTAGCGAAGAAGGGGGTGGCTTCGCCTGAGAAGCGGCCATAAGAAAATTACCTGCGTTGAATATCTTATTCGATACATAAGCAGTTCCGCCTAGAGCGGTCTCTTCGCCGCGGGATGCACACCGTCGTCGGTCGATATACTCGGCGAAAGAAAGGGGGGCACAAAAAGTAATTGATAGTCCGCTCATTGCTCGCTCGATCATAGACCAGGCCCATCTGGCTTGCTCGGATGAGGGAAAATAGAGTCGCGCTCTTCTGCGTCTTTCACGCGGCCGATCCTTACGTTTTCGTTTCGCTAAATAAATTTGCCGCTCGCTAACACACCGATTTTTATTACAACGCCACAACGAGGTGACAATATTTCGTTATTGTCGTTACAATTGTTTACTCGGCACAAAATTTTTTAATAGAATCCCTTTCTGCTGCGATGTCTCCACGCGCGCAAATAATCGCTCTTCATTCGTCAATGGTACGGCCTGTTAGAAGCTTCGATCGTCATGCAGTTCAATTGACGCTGCGTATAAGTGCGTAAGTGAGACGTTTGTGTAGTTGCACGTATGCGTTACGGTGTGGAGCTTGAATATGTACTAACACAGCGTACGAGCACACGCGTTTGTGCACACGTACGCGAGATTCGAAGCAACAGCTGAGCAGTTTAAAGCACCTGCGCTCAATAAGCCGACAATATTCCATAGTTCGTCTACGCGTAAACCCCCTGCCTACGAGGACACCCCGATATTCGTTCCAATACGTATCAAGAAGTCAAAAGAGTTTGCAGAGAACAATGCGTGAGGTGTCACGAAGTAAAGAAAGTTTACTGAAAACTGTATTCCATGAATAAAAAATACCAATGTTTTTTTTTACTTTACCGAGACCAGACTCTTTATAAATGTAATTGATATTACAATTTTTACAAATGAATGTTGTGAAAACTTCTAGTGCTAAGAAGTAAAGTATTGAACGAAGTTTCAGCAACCATCGTAACGATAATAGGTATATCTTCCCTCCTTCTAGATCGAGGGTTGCGTAACAGGAAGACAGATTATTGTAAGACATAAGCGAATAGAGAGACGCGCGCGTACTCAAAGTATCGTCGACATCCTCATTGTGCACTTGAAGCACTATTACGTAAACGTTCAATTACAGCAAGTTAACGCGTTCTCGGGCGTTTCCTCGAAGAGGAGCGATTCGTTCTGAGAAATTGCTAGGCAGTTCCGTTGGCAATTACTTTAGAGGGGTGCAGCGCTTGTTGCGGCCCTCGTTACATCCAGAAGTGACATATGGTGTCGACCTCGATAAGGTCTACGGGACGACGATTGTACCTGGACAGGAGGGGCGCTTCGAGGGGGGTCGAACTTCAGTCTTTCCCGTTTTTTGATCGGTACTTCCCCGTGTGCCGTCATGCGTGGGACGAGAAGGGGAAAACAAAAAGGTGCCGGTGTCCTGCCGGAAATGGCTTCAGGAACTCTCCCACTGTTGCGTCGATTCGGAAGTAGACGCGACGAGCTAATTACACGCGAGGAGTGTGTTCGCCAAGACGAGCGCGGGGGAAGCAGACAGGGTCTTACCGCTACTGGTATACGGCGACCGATTTTTCATAATAAATACTCCCAAATTCGAATAAATGGGCGCCTGCTCTTTTCCTCTCGTTATAAAAGGTACATTTTTGCACAGGATGACAATTTTTATCGTACAATTGAGATCTTACGGCTCATGGGAACAAAATGTCACCGGTATTATTGCGAGAGAATCGATAGGTAAACTACGGAAATGATGTGCGGAAGTTAATCGCGTGCGCGAGTCGATATGTCATAGAATTAGCGACTATTAAGGCGCAAGAAAAACACACGTCGGCAAGTCACCAATGATCATTTCCTGTACGTCATACGATATTTACCATTTAAACAGGTGGGTAGATTTCAAAGCGTGATTATAGTGCATAGTAATAGGGTCCGCAAGTAATACGTAGGATAGTTAACGCATGGGGAGCCCTCGATGGAACTTCAAGGTGATAGTCAATATTATATCACGTGATCGTTTCTCTCTCTCTCTCTCTCTTTTTTTCAAGTAGATGACGACGCGTGAAAAGTCGCGAGAGTAACGATTTAAGGACGCCGCGACATTTTACCGAGCAAATTTGACGAAAGGCACGAACTTGCGTTCCGCTGCACTCCCGTGCGTGCGAACAATTTTTCGTTACCCTCCCTCGCGAAATAGCCGAAGAAATAAGGGAAGATAGCTGCTGCTACGTGAGCATCACATGGCGCGCATACCCCACATGGCGTTGTCGAGGTAACACAGCGGCGGCATGTGCATCGGAATTCCACCCCCCGTAGGTGTCATGTGGTGAGAGCGCTCGCAGGGGGTTGCATGGGAACTCGACTGTGGTCATCAGTCCATGTCCATCGCGTATGTACGCACGCACGGCGCTTAGGCACGTAGACGCGACTCGACCCTCCCGGTATATAAAATTATTGTAACATTCGTCTCGTCGTTATGCCTTACGACGGGGGGATGCGTAGGGGGATAGACGTACTTCGTAGCCGTAACACGCATCCGCAAACCGCACAAACACCGCGGCCTATACGTCCCCGTGGTCTTGCCTAAGCGCGAACGTGTAGACACGCGCACACGCGCGCAAGCGAAACGTACCGCCGGCCGCGCTGGGGTACCTACTCACACGCGTCGGCGGCGCACACGGCGGCCCCGTCGTGTACGTACACACACGGTTCACACGCGTTCAGCATATTATCGGCCTGCTCTGATGCAACAAGTTGACCGGGTGTCAATTGATGTGTTATTAATTGGAGGTTAATTGCGTTAATGCGCTGTCGACCCCGCCTCTCTGTCGTCTACCCGCTCTCCCACCCCCGACGCCCACCGCACCCGCCTTCAACGAGCCCCACTGTTTTATTATTATTTTGCATTCGAATCGTTTCGATTCAACACACACTGGCACGCGCCCAAACCAAACTGGCGAGAGGGAGAGCGAGAACCGCGCCGGCAGGCCGCGAGCCGGAGAGAGCGCGAGAGAGCATTTAAAAGCGGCGGCCTGTCACCGATTTTCATAATTCACAGCTCGTTAAATTTGTTTCGCTTTTTGCCCCGCTTTTCGCGGTTACGCGCCCCGACGCCATTAATCTACCTTCGGTCGTTTTCAATGAGTTTAATCGCGTTTCAAAAACAATGTGGGTCAACGCCACGCTTGTGTTATTCCTGACACGTGAGCATGACCTTCTCGCCGTTTTCATTTCGATTTCGGTTCCCATTCATGCCGTTGCGGATAGCACGCGATAATGAGCGCCCGTGTTTTTCGA